ATAAATAATAAAATATTTTAAAAAGTGATATTTGAATCCATGTATATGGACCTTGCACACACACTCTATCAATGAGTCCCAGCCCTGAGCAGAGTTTGTATGGACCACTTTTCTTGAAGTCCATGATATGATTTGAATATATCCCCCCAAAGTTTATGTGTTAGAAGTTTAAGCCCTAAATTAATGTTACTAGAATTTGGGGATAGACCTTTAGAGAGGGAATTAGAATTAGATGAGGTCATGAGGACGGGCTCCTGAGATGGCATTAATGGTTTCATAAGGGAAGGAACTGAGCCCTGAGCTAGCGTGCTTGCTCTGCCATGCCATGTGATACTATCTGCCACATTATAATGCAACAAGAAGGCCCTCAGCATTTATCGGCATCATGTTCTTTCCCAGCTTCCAAAACTCTTAGCCAAACATGTTTCTGTTCTTCATAGACTACCAATTCTTAGGTATTTTGTTATAGCAAGAGAAAAAAGGGATTAAGAGATTTCATTAACCTCTGTTTTAAGAACTGAAATTAGTCAGCACAAGGAAATAATCTTAGAAACCCTGAGTCAATGACCATCTCTGACAGAGGGTAGACTGAGCGCAGGGGAGGCTTTGCAGGGATAGCCTGGGATCATTTATTTCACCAGTAATGGAATAATCAGTCATGACCATGCATAAAACGAAATACCATACTACCATTAACAGTTTGTATATACAGGTATAAAAGACGCTGATGCTCTATTGATAAGCATAGTATGATCCCAGTAAAACTAAAGATACAGATGCCTATAGAGTAACAGAGAAAATAAACCTCACAAGACACATACATGCCAAAATATCAAGAGCATTGTCTCTGATGGCTGGAGTTGCTTTTCATAAAATATACTTCTATGTTTTTTTTTTAGTTTTACAATAATAAAATATCACTTTCACTGCCTGAAACAAAAAGAATTTCAAAGCTTTTTCTCTTTGAGGGTAGAACATAGTATGAAGAGGAGTGAGTGGCACAGTCCCAAGGACAAGGGAAAAAAACTTGCGTAGCAGTAACTAGAAACTTTCCATGCACCTTTAACTAAACTTATTATAGCACCTCCAGATCATAAAAGTTTATTTTCCTTTTCATTGGATAAACTAAAATTATCCTGGCTTCACTGTAGCTCAAATTTCTATCTGCTGGGCTTCCATATGCTTGTTTTAAATAGCTCAATATCCCTCAGCATTCCCTGGCTTTACGTGAGCACTGTACAACCAAGCTGCCCCACACAGGAAGCAGCGGCCCAGCGCAAAGCCCTGCACTGCGGCCTGTACAGTGCTATGCTCATATGTAGCGGGTCTGTGCCTCACTACTCAGACCTAAAGGGACAATGCAGCTGCTGTTACTTTGCCCTGCATCTTTCATGTTCTTGAGGACTTGGTCCACCTTGCCCAACTTCAACAGACTTCTCAAAGAATTAGGAAATCTTTCCAAAAGTAGCCCATTCTATTTTTTTTTTTATTGTGGTACAATACACATAGCATGAAATTTACCATTCCCAACATGTAGGACATGGATAATGGTTTGCAACTACTGCCTTTATCTAGTTTTGAAACATTAGACCACCCCATAGAAACCCTGGACCCATTAAGCAGTTACCCCTTTCCTTCCTCCCACCAGCCCTCTCCCCTACATGGCATTCACTAATCTGCTTTATATCTCTGCAGAGTTGCCAAATTTGGATATTTTGTATAAATGGAATCATGTGTTTTCCTGTGATTGGCTTCTCTCACATAACACAGTGCTTTCAGGGTTCATCTGCATGGTAGCATGTGTAAGTATTTGATTCCTTTTTATGGTGGAATAATATCCATTGTATGAATACACCGCATTTTGCTTGTCTGAGTATTGATGGGTATCCGGCTTACTTCTACTTTTTGACTATTGTAAACAGTGCTGCTATGACTATTTGTGTACAAAGATTTGTTAGAATAGCTGTGTTGTTTTTTTAAAAAACAAGGTATTGCTACAAATCCCAGGCTGGACTTGAACTCACTATATTGTCCAGGCTTGGTTCTAACTCACAGTTATACTCCTGCCTCAGCCTCCCAAGTGCTGGGATTATAAATGTGTGCCTCTATGCCAAACTGAGCACCTGCTTTCCACATTGGGGAGGGATATGTATTCAGGAGTGGGATTTCTGG